GAAGCCTACGTACAAGAAGATGCTTGTTGATCAAACGTTTCCTGCCATTTTTGAGAAGTTTCCGCACAACGTACAACAGATCGTGGTCCAGCACGACAACGCAACACCCCACGCTGTAACCACTGACCCCGATGTCGTTGCCGCGACCGTGTCGAACGGTCACCGCATCGCCTTTGGCGAGCAGCCAGCAAACAGCCCGGACTTGAACATCCTTGACCTCGGCTTCTTCAACTCGATCCAAGCGCTACAACAGAAGATGCCCGCTTACACAGTGGACGATTTGATCAGAAACGTGGAGAATCCGTTTACGAACGTACTCGCGGTGTCGTTGGACAACGTGTTTTACACGTTGCAGACTGTCATGGAGTGCATCTTGGAGACTGGTGGAAGCAACAAGTACAAGCTGCAGCACATTGGCAAAGAAGCCAAGCGTCGACGCGGTGAGCTGGAAGAGTCGTTGACATGTTCTGCTGACACGTACCTTGCTGCTCGGCTTGCCGACCTTTGACATTGTGATCCAAGGATAATTTTGACCAATGCAACTGTTTGAGTTTCAATTTTAACCAATAATGTGAAATCACGACAATCAAAACCGGAAGTAGGAAATATGAATCACGACAATTGAAGTCGGACAGAGGTAGTAATTGTGATGTAGTTTTATTTATATATCAGTGAATCAGAACCAGCAGCCGGCGGCTGGCTTGATGGGCGAGGTCTGGCACCAAGTGCCATGCGGCCTTTCGATATCCGGATGAATACCTGGATGTCCCGTTACATCCTCCCACACTTAGACTTGACTTCAGTATGATCGAGAACGACCGTTGTAGAGCCTCCCGTTGTGGATTCTGTCGTTGGCAGGGGAGTCCTGGCCTTCAAAATTTCGTAAAGAGACTGTCGAGTGGCGAGGAAGAGCGGTGCGTGGGGAGCATTTGATCGTGACGCCGGGTACGGCGGCGGTGGAAAGGTCCGGAACAAGCGTTCGCGGAGATTTGCTCCGAAAGACGGCGCGATGGTGCCGTCGTGATCATGGTCCGAATTCAGCCGTTGGCTGACGAGACCGTCTGGGAATACGTTGGTCTTTGGTGGGCACGCGTTCTTGCCTTGGATCCTTTGACCAACGCGTTCCGTTACCAGCGCAAGCTGATGGAACACCTAGCGAATAACGCTAAGTGTCGAGCCGAGTTGCCTCGGCTGGTCGCGACTTCGCTTGCCAGATCTTCGAGCACTATTGTACGATTGACAGACGATGCGAAGCGGGGAGTCGACTGGAATATCCTGTATTGACGTACATTGTGTAGTGCGGTTCGGAAGCGCGAGGAAGTACTCGCGTCCATCGGGGGCCCACCGGGATCCCTTCACCACGTGATGCTGGTGGTGCGTCGGAGCACGACTTCGTGAACGCGGACGTGTTGCGTCGCTTGGTCGCTTGGTGGATCAATGTCGATGGACGACGGAAGTCCGAACCGATAATACACGCTGTCGTAGAAGAGGGCGGCACAGCGTTCCGCTGTGATGGTGCCCTTGACGGGGACGACCACAAGATGTTTCGACCCTCGGTCGATGCACACCCAAATGCCCGTGTTCCCTCGCTGTTCGCGAGGAAGGCCAAAGATAAAGCCCATGCTCACGGACTCCCAGAGTTCATGAGGGACTTCCAGACTTTGAAGAGGCGCTCGCGTCGATGCGGAGGCCTTGACGGTCTGGCAGATGTCGCATGACGCGACACAGCGAGCCACTTGCTTGTACAAACGCGGCCACCAAAAGTGGCGAGCAATCGACGTAAACGTCCGTTCACGGCCAAAATGACCGGCGCTGGGCGCGTCGTGGAACTCGTGCAGGATTGCCTGCCGGAGCAAAGGGTCGCAGGGACTGCGTCGCGCTTGTTGACAGCCATGTTCGTGGCGTAAAGCAACAGTCCTTCGTGGATGGAGTAACGCTCGCGCTGTGGAACGCGCGAGGCCAACGGGGTACCGTCTCAGAGATGTTCGATGATGGGGCGCAACGTCACGTCAGCCGCGTAGGCGGCTCGAATGCGCGACAAGAGGTCTGACGAGACCGACGAGATGGAGGACAACTGCACGTCCTCAGCCGACGGTAGTCGGGACAATGCATCCGCGACGACATTGTCGCCGCCCGGCTTGTTCTCTCAACCTTAAGGTTGAACTCCGAGAAGTACGAGAGCCAGCGCGACATGCGCGGCGACAAGTGAGCCAGCGCGACATGCGCGGCGACAAGTGCGGCGAGTTGATCGCCGTGCGGAGCGATGCGTGGTCGGTGTAGACCTCGAACTCGGACGAGCCCAAGAGGTAAATGCGGAACTTCTTTAGGGCGTAGTACATCGCCAATATCTCCAAGTCGTGAACTGGATAGTTTTTCTCAGACTTGTGAAGTTGGCGGGGTTGGAACGATACCGGGCGCTCCCTGCCCAATGCATTGCGCTGCATCAAGCAGCAGCCGATGGCTCGAACCGACGCGTCGCAGACCACGAAGAACGGTCTGGAATAGTCTGGCAAAGCCAGAATCGGAGCCGATGTGAGGCTCGACTTGATCGACTCGAAGGAGTTTTGCCATTCTTGTGTCCACTCCCATGGGACATCCTTGCCGAGCAAGCGAGTCATGGGACAAGCCAGGTCGGCGAAATTCGCCGAGTACTTGGGCAAGTAGGTCGCGAAGCCCATCCAATTGCGCAGTTCTGGCACAGAACTTGGCGTCGGCCAAGACTTGATGACGTCCACCTTGGACGGATCGTCGCGACATCCTTTGACGCGACGTAATCGCCGAGCTCCAGAATCTCGAGGACCCCGAAGAGACACTTCAACAGGTTGGTAAAGAGACCAGCGTCTCGAAGTGCCTGGAACACTTGTCGAAGGTGTGACCGGTGAGCCTCCACATCCGAGGAAGTCGCGGTCGCGCGACTGTGTATGTACACGTCGTCGAAATACGACGGAGCAAACTTGCGGAGCGGTCGGAGTTTCTCCGTGACGACGTGGTTGAAGGTGGCAGGGGCGTTCTTCAGCCCCTGGGATATCACCAACTACTTCCAGAGCATGCCGCTGGGGGTGGAGACGGCCGTCTTCTCGATGTCTCGGACGTTCATTAGGATCTGATAGAACCCGTCCCGAAGGTCGATGGGTGCTGAAAATGATCGACTGTCCCATGGAGTCAATGATGACATCCTTGCGTGGGATCGGCGTTTGCACCGGAATGTGGCCGCGTTCAACTTGTTGTAAGCATGAACGATGCGCCACTTCCCACTGCCCTTCTTCACACAGAAGGTGGGACTCGAGTGCGGGGACTTGCTTTCCCGCACGTGGCCGGTCTTCTTGCGGGCGGCGAAGAATTCGTCGATGAACGCGACTTGGTCGCGGGGCAGCGGCCACTGCCGCGTGATACACCACTTGGTGCCAGGCACCAGGTCGATATCGTGTCGGACGCTCTTGTCCTTGGGGAGACACCCCGGGACGCTGTCCGGAAAGACATCTTGGAACTCGCGAACCAAGCCGAAGTACGGGTTCGTTTCCAACTCCTTCCATACCGATGAGAAAGGGCGAAAGGCACTCTCTTCGACGGGGTCGTCGGTTGTTGACGAAACCATGAGGTGCTACTCATGGGCGTTCCTGATGAGTGCAATGCTGACGTTGACAGCTCCGCGCAACGCGCGGACAAAGCTGAGGTAGCTCATTTCCGGGAGCTTGACGATCTCAGCGGCTGTTCGTGGCCTTTCGGTCAAGTCGCAGACCGAAAGAACAAATGCGTTGGTGTCACGCCTATGGGCAGTGGTTCGTCTCACATCATCGCCAGTCTTGGCGGCATCGCCGAACGCGGCGGAAATCAAATCATCGCCAGCCTTGGCGGCATCGCCGATCGCGGCGGATTCCAACTCATCGCCAGTCTTGGCGGCATCACCGAACGCGGCGGATTCCGTGGCAAGCCTCGTGCTCGAAGGGGCAGGTCGCGTGACAAAATGCGTCGCTGGCCCATGCAAGAGCGTGAGCTCATTCCTCATCACTCTCAGGTCGGACGGAGGGTTGGCCAGAGCAGCCTTGTGCATCGTCTTGGATCCATGGTTGGTGTGCCTCCAACATCCGCATGCCAAGGATAAGATCCCATCCAAGTCGATGACATAGAAGGACTCAGTGGAGGCAAAACCCTCCACGACTGTGGCGAGAGCCACCACGACCTTGGACAAGGTGACAACTTGGCCGTCGCCATCTTGACGCGCACAACGGAGTACGTGGGAGCACGCTGGACTGCACCATCGTAAATCGAGCGATTCTCTCGAATCGAAGCGCGTCGGGCATAGTTCTCCGACGCCCCGCAATCCACCAGGACGCGGAACAGGCGGTCGTATCCAGGGATACGGCTGCTGAAAGACAGCATGCTTCCGATTTGACACAGTATCAATGTGCCTGAGACAGGATTTGCCGACCGTGCTATGCCGCCTCGCGCCTACCGAGGACTTCCATTTCCCTGTCCGCGAGGATGCTCGCTGCTCGTGCGCGCGTCAGAGTGGGCGGTAATGCGCGAAGAGCCAGCGGCAGGGAAGACGGCGCCGCGCGCCGAAGGTCGAGGGAGTCGCCGCGGTTGGCGACAGTCACGGGAGAAGTGGCCCGGCCGGTTGCAGTTATAGCAACGACGGTCGCTGCCAGTCGGCAGGATGGCAGACACTTCCATGTCGGAAGAGTCGCGGACCTTCACCCCGCGTGCCTGGGTAACCGAGAAGTCTTCGGCGAGGTCGATGCTTACAGCGTCTTCGAACGTCGAAGGACGCGTCCGGAACAGCTACGTCCGCGCAGCGGAGTCGTTCAGACCATTCATGAAAATGGCCACCTTGGTGTCTTCCGATAGTGACGACTCCTTCGTCACGCAGGAGGCAAGGAAGCGGAGGTCGTGGACATACTTGCGAATCGAACGCTTTGCCTTGTTTCGCGGAGAAGTACTCCGCACGGAAGCGAAAGTAGCTATTGGCGGGTACGAAAGCCGCCTTGAGGTGGTCGACGAAATCGTCGAAGGGTTCGAAGGAG